CACTGGGGCTTGCAGGCACTCATTGAACTTGTACCTGCCTGTGGGCCAAGTGGAAAAAGAGGGCAGACGGAGGGAATTTTTGCTCTTGCTCAGACTAAAAGCCACTGTCATCAGCCCCAGGTGAGGCCATACAGCTTGGAGAAGTTGAGAAAAGTGTGTATAGCTTATACCTGCTGTGTCTGCAGTCATTGTCTTGCAGAATTTCTGATTGCTGTTGGAGTTCTGGCTCAGCCTCCTCTTCCTCCCCTTGGGGATGTGTGTGTGGAGCTGGGCCCTCCAGGTGGCATTGATGGGATGAGGTGTCCTGCGAGCAAGAAGATGAACCTTAAGACTAAACGGATAGAAATAAACTTATTTCCTATCTTTTCATGAATAAAATCTTTTCTCTCTGATAAAGAGCCCATTCCAGAGCAAAGCAAAAGGTGAGCAGAAACCCTGTTAGGTGTCCTGGGATATGATGTCAAGAGGAACATCCCATATTTTCCCAGTAGAAGCATCTCATTCCTATTTTATTTTCTCAAATTGTCTGATCTCTTGTCTCCTTGATGTCCCTTTAAAGACTGCAGAAGGGGTGTGCAAGCCACTGGGGTGACACGAACTGTTCCTCTGGCTGAAGTGTTTTGATGGCAGAGGATGGGACAGGCAGAAATGAGGATGTGAGGATAAACAAGTCCTGACAAAACAAGCAGTTGCATTGGTGGCTCTTAGAAATGAGGAAGTGTGACCCATGCTTGTGGACCCGGGGCTGGCACCAAACCTCACACATATAGCCAGAGAGGGAATTGCAGTGGCAGTTCACAGGAGAATGGTGACAGTGACTCAGTCCCTGGTGTCTGCTGCTGCAGCTGAGCATGAGTCCATGCACTTGCAGTTGTTATTCTCATAGAAAAAGCCAAGTCATGGAAGACTTTAACTTCCAATTTGCAGTGCCTTGAGGGAACTCATGTCCCTGTTGTGATGGGGATCCCAGTGTTGCATCCCTGGAGCAGTGACACACAGCATGGCTGTTTCTCATGTGGCAGCTCCAGGACCTTTTTATAGCACAGAAACCTGGATCAGCCCTTGGATAAGAGCTGACTGGTCTCGTGTTCCATCATGCTGCTGCTTCTAACTATACTCAGTCCTATCTGATTAAATGAGACTGGAATTTACTGGCTACTCCTTTTCTCTGCTGCCTCTGTCATTAATATCCAGGGATCCAAACTCAAGAGCTTTTCAGCCCCTTCACATTTCTGGTCACATCTTCTGGAGAACTCGTCCAAAGGTTGGGTGTTGGCAGCTTCTCCCTTCTTGGATGATACAGTAAAAATATCTGGAACTGCTTCAGGTTTCTGGAGTTGTGGTACTGCTAATCTTCCCTCTATGAATTCTGGATTAAATTAGGACTTGCTTTACAGGAAATTTTAGGTAATGTCTGCCTGTATTCACAGCTTAGTCATTTATTTGGGTGTAGCCCAGTAGTCTGAATAGCCTGTGATTTACTGCCACCAGTGAAATGAAACAGAATCACTTTCTCTGATTTATATCCTCTATTGTAGTTAAATATTTACACAGTATCAAGATCTTTATAATTGAATGGTTTACAGATAGGCAGCAAATGTTTATATACCTCTGGAATGGCCACAGGGCCATTGAGGTAATGATATTTCATTTTGATAAAAGGTCTTTTGCTAAAAAGAAACTTAAAGCTCTCTCAGTTCCATTTTATTCTCGGGGTCAGATTTAGTCATGCTGATTTCAGTGTGTTACTGCAATTCTTACAGACTGCAAAAGTTTAGAAAAACACTTTTGTTGAAATGACACTGTTGTAGTGGAGGAACATGGCATCTTTCCCCTAGAAATGTTGTTGATTTGTTCAGGTAAGAAGGCAAGAAAAATTACCAGGCTAATATCACGCTCTGAAGGAAACTGAAGCTGGCAGGTTTGAACAATACTACCAGTACTAAGTTAGTGTTTCTCCATTCACCTGCAGAAAGGTATCACTAAATATTTCATGACCCATAGACAAACAAAATTAGCCCTGTTTCCTGAAGCAAGAAGGGATCCTGTCATTCCTATTTGCTTTGTTTGATTCTATCTCCAAGGGAGGGAACTGGAACTCAAAGCAGGTGCAACAATTACAGCTGAGTTTGAATATTGCTAAGCTGATATTCAGAATTTGGGAATAAGCTGACCTGGATTACACTGTTGGTGAAGACTTTGTCTAGATTTGGCCAAGAATGTGTATTCCATTGCTTGCGTCTTGGAACTGTGTGGTTTTATAACCAAAAGAGATGCCAACTTTTCTTAAAACCAGAGTCTCCTTAGAGACTTTCCATCAGCATAGGTTTTCCCTTTTTTCATCACTTTTTGATGTTGTCAGATAATTTTGGGCTCCTGGATTTCAAATTGGACTAGATGAGCAAAAAGTAGGAGGGCAGCAGAAAGGTAGTTAGAACTATATTCTGTCTCTTGATTACTGAAAATCATTATAGCAGCTGTCTTTCATGTAATTCCAGAGTGGATGTTGGAGAAAAACAGAAACAATATATGCATATTTTAGGTCCTACTTATAAGTGTAACTTGGATAAAACTTTTAGAATGTGTGAGGCTGTTGGGAATCCTAGTCTGGGGGAAGGGGAACAAAATTTACTACAGAGTGATTAACATTTGTGATATAATTTCCTATATAATGGAAATCATATTCCTACCTGGATAGTCTAAATAATCCTATATCATAGAGTGATGATTATTTTAAATCTGTAGTAACAAATGTTTCTGAGAATCAAACTTATAATCAAACATGCAATGCTTTGGTGGTTACAAAGATGCTCTTCTCAAAGGTCACAGGGATTTTTTGGTTTCTCTGTCCCAGCTGGGAGGCAGTTGATAACCTCTTTATTCTGTATCTGAGATAAACAGCAGTTCATACCACTGGTAATGGGGAGCTTTCCAGCTGACACTGCCTCTACATGCAGTGATACAGAGTAGGATATTCTGAAATTACCCTGCCTGTCACCCAGCTGCCTCCAGCCTGGGCAGAGGAGCCCAGCACTGCATGTACCTGCAAAGTGTCACTCATGGTTACCAAGGATGCAGCCCCGTGAATGTGGTGTTTCTCCCTGCTGCCTCGCCCGCAGTTGTGTTGTCAGGTAAAGATTGCCCCGAGATCAAAGCAAGCCCAATTTTCTAACCATCAGGTGTGACAGCGTCCTTCGAGCCCTGGTAGCTGCTGGCGAGGGGACAGGGCTGTCCCAGCTGTCGCACCGCGGCTGGGCAGCGGGGATATCGCGGTGTCTCTGCCGGGACCCCGGCTCGCCCCGCGGCTCTCGCTTCAGCACCTTGGCCAGGGCCGGGCGGGCCGTGCCGGAGCCGGCGGCGGCCCCGGGGCACCGAGACCCCCGGGTGTGACCGCCCGGGGACACGGCCCCGCCGCGGCACCGGCACCGCTCCGCGCCTGCGCCGGTCACCGCGCTGCTGCGGCCTCGGCACATCTGGCACACTGACCGCGCATTCGCGTTCTGCACAGCTGGGCTCGCGCGGCACATCTGGGACACTGAGAATGCATTCGCGTTCTGCACAGCTGGGCTCGCACTGCACATCTGGGACAATGACAGCGCATTCGCGTTCTGCACAGCTGGGCTCGCACTGCACATCTGGGACACTGACAGCGCATTCGCGTTCTGCACATCTGGGCTCGCGCGGCACATCTGGCACACTGACGGGCTGTCAGCCCCCCATTCCGCACAGCTGGAAGGTGGCTTTGATGACGTTGTTTTTGCTCCTGAAAGCATCACAAAGCTCCCAGTTCCTGACCCTGTGTTCTGTGATCACTAACGGAGAATGATGTCATGGTGGGAGATGTTACACATGCAAATATTGTTTAGTAAATGAATATTCAGAGCAATCTTTGACTAGTAACAGCTTTGGTGACAGAAGTAGTTGGGAGTTTCAGCTAACCATACTAGTACCACAGCCACACTTCAAGTGGGATTTTTAAAAATAAATTAGGGAAAATGGGGACCTCAGACCTCCCAGCTCTTCATACTCATACTGATTTTTATAATCTGTTCCTTATGCACTATTATAATACTGATTTCCTTGGGCTACACTATGTTTAAGCATTCAGCCTTAAATAACGCAGTGATGCACAACTAATGAAACAGAGGAATGACTGGAGAGATGGCATTTTAGGTGAATCACAGCTTATTCCTCGAATTATTTATAGACTGCTCTCTCTTTATGACAGGGTGTCAGCTATCCGGCAACAGGCCAGAGTGTTTATGAATCATCTCATAGACTTAGTATGGCTTCAAGATGAGGGCAGAAGAGATTAAGGAAGGTTCACTTTGTGTCTTTTCATCAGCAATAAGCCATCTCCATTCCAATGAAAAATCTCTCTGGTCCCAGCTGCTGCATGGTTACCAATAAACCTGCTCTTGTACAGAAGGGCAAGTTAATAACTAACACAGCTTTTCTTTGTTGTCAAGTGGAGCTAAGTAAAGGTTTGAATTTTTTAATCAGGCTTTTCTGTCTCACCTCCAGTCTCTTTATGTGACACCTCAGTGCCATTTTGCAATTCATCATTTCAGAGTCAAAATCAGGAGTAGTGAAAGTACTATAATGAATCAGGTTGTCCTGGATCAGGATGCTCAGCTGCCTAGGAAGGTATAAGTGAGAGAGGCAGATGCTGCAAAAACAAGAGACTAAAAGCACAATATTTCCCTCTGTCCTTGCTGTTTGGTAGCATGGCATCTATTCCAGAGTCAATGCAATAATGGATCACTGCAATACGCTGTGCAAGCCCATGCTGAAATGAGCACACCTGTGGCTGCCAATATAGATGGATCTGGTACCATAAAAACATGGCATGTCCTTGTGTGGACACTTGTGACTGCAGGAAATGAAGGTCCCTTTCAGTGCTCTGGGGAGATATGTAGGTGCCAGGTGGATGCTGTGCTGTGTGAATAACAGCCACATGGTTTAATAGGTGCTAAAGTGGGCAGAAAGAATTGCATCAATTGGATGTTAAGTTTTATTAGACATAACTTAGTGACAGTAGTAAAATTGACATTTACATATAATCATGGCCTTTTAAATCACAAAAATCAGGAACATCACCATATTAATTGTTAAACTAACTTCCATTTCTTTTAGTGTACCTTTCTAGAAGCATTATTTTAAACTATGCAGCTGCACATTACATTCACATAATAAAACAAACTTCAAATAAAAAAATAAAACAGATTATGTTAATACAAAATGAATGTTTACAGACCAGGAAGTTCACTACTGCTCAAAGAACCACCCAGGGCCCTATGGCTGTTCAAGTCATAGTTCCCCATCCTGGAGTTTTATGGGCCTGGTACTGATCCTTGGCAAGAGGGAACTTCTTGGAGTTTGCAGCAGCAAGTGTTGTGTTTTCTTGTTAAATAGCTATGAACTGGTCCAGTGGTGAATTCCATAGAATCCAAAGCATAGAAACCAGCTGTAATACCAGAGGCAGCATCAGAACCTAGAACTTTTGCCTTCTGGCCCTTGTTTCCAGCTGCCTGTTTTTTGAAATTAAAAATACAGTACCAAGCTGAAACTTGTCTCTGCTATCTCCTGGCTACCTAGTTGTAATGGCAGTGTGAATAACTGGATTTTGTTTCCACTTTTTGCTTTCATTGCCATTGATCTCTAGCTACCTCTGGGGCACAGGAATATGTCATGGGCTTCCCTGGGCTTTACCTCGGACATTCCATGAGGAGCAGAGTGGCTTTGAATCTCTTTCCCCACTGGAAAAGAAGAGGATTCATTCAGGTAAATTATTTCCTCACGTTCATAATTTATTTCTTATGAGACAAAGGGTCAGTCACCCCTGTACAAAAGGCTGGCAAAGGCTCAAGCATCAGTTTGTTCCTACTGGAACCCTACTTCAGGATTGTACCAAAGAGCTGACACTTTTGTTCTGGCTCTCTGCAGGAGAAGTTCTTACATGCAGTGATATAAAAATGTGGAAAGGAAATGTCAGGCAAATGGAAAGCTTTTCTCCCTCTTCAGAGAAAAAAGCCCTGATTTAAGATTTATTGGTAGTATAAAAGCACTTATTAGTGCTGCTGACTCCATAGCATTGAAATTCACATCTAATAGCATTCTCTAGTGTTAGAAAACAGAGATGTTTCTCTACTTCTGTTTTACAGCTGCTTTGAGAGATGTGGCATCTACAGCTGTGTTGGGTGTAGTCCTCTGGCCACACTGCCTTATTCCCAGTTTGTGTGCATCCTCCACACCACCTCTACCAGGGGCTCCCATCACATACTCAGGTGAAGTTCAGGCATTTTCTACACTACCACGCTCATCAACAAAACTCCAGTGATAGGAGTATTTTCTTCAATGCTCTCTTATATAGTGGGGCAAGGGGAGAATAATAGGAAAGAAATGCATTGAGAAAAAAATGAGTTGTTTGTAGGACAGGATTATTTTTTTTCAGCTTTCACTGAAAAGCAGAAAAGTGCTACAGAAACAGTGGTCTTATCTGATCAGTCTCCATCAATCTACCACAATTTTATGGACTACAGCAAACTCCCCAAACAAATACCTGTATTTATTCCATGAGCATTTTTTGGTTTGGGTTTTTTGGGTTTTACTGGGTTTTTGTTATGGTTTTCTTCTGCAGTGGTTGTTGTGTGGGTTTGTGGTGTTTTTTTAGTTTAGTTGACTTTTTAATCCAGTGAAATAATGCCAACAATCAGTGCTTTCATATTGCCTATTCTGGAAGTCTGCCACAGTCATTTTAAAGTAACTACCCAGAAATACAGTTTGTTTATTTAGAAGTCCTTTGGGAAATCATTACTGCTCCTGATGGAGTGTCTCAAATGTTGCAATTCTAAGGCACAACAGGCTGTTAGAAGATATTTTTATCCTCTAAAAATAGAGGAATATTCTGTTTTCTATATGAAAATAAGCCACTTAAAAAAAAAAAAATCTAGATTTTGGTTATTTTTACTTCAGTCCTTCCTCAATGTCAGTGGCCCCATTCTGAAAGCAAGAATAACCAAGCCAATCTATTTTGAATACTCAGGCATCAAACTACTGTAGAACTGAAGACAAAGGTAACAAAAAACAGTACTGGTGAACTTACTTCATGTCCATTGACTTCATATCATCAAATCATTCATGTCATTTAGTAGCACTAGTGAAAGGTAAGTCCTGTGCAGTGCTAGAGCACCTTCTCAAAGAGTTTTAAAGCATTCTCAAAGTAATGCTGGTCTTACCCTCAGCCCATCCCAGTCTGGCAGACACAGAGAGGCAGGAACTGGCATTGAAGGCTGGGGTTCCCAAAGATCCGCTCCAACCACTAAGTGCTACTGCCTCTCCACATGTAAACTCCCTTTATTCATAGACAAAATACCTTTAAAATGTATTAGTAAACACATCAGTCTCTTAATCACACCTTAGGAAGATCCCCTGCCCTTGCTGAATCTCTTGTAACTAAGCAGCCTCCAGGCATTAGAAGCAAATCCTGTTTTTATTTTGAGGCATCATCAAAGAATGTGACAGCACAATAGAACTGCAGGTAGGTCAGTTTTGTGCAGCACCTAAGGCAACCATGGATGCTTGTTAAATCCAAGGCTATCTGTGAGTCAAGAGAGACATAAATCACTGAGAAACTGCTGATCCTCAGCCTCCAACATATGCCTCCTTTGTTATCTGTGGATATCTGTGAGACAGGTGCTATTTCCAAAGCGAGAGAGGTGTATTCCCAAAGTGCTTTTCAGTTTGGTGCATGTGAAGGTGACCATTAAAGGTGAAAGCCCTCCAGCCTGGAAATTACCAGTAACAAGGAAGAGCTGATGACAAAACCTCAGGAAACAAGTAAAAGCAGGTATCTCAACACAGCCACAAGAGAAAGAAATCCAGTTTGAACATGTGGGGCAGAAAATTGTCCAAGTGCAATCTGGAGTCACATCTGTGAAAATCTGTGAGGGAATGAGGAGTGGGTTAGTGACAGAGTAGCATTTAAAGAAGCCCAAAAGGGGTCCGTCCTTTTTTCTGCCTGAACCGGTCTGATGCCCAAGGTGAAGTGTGACTCCTACATCCTCTATGGCTGACCCTTGATCAGGTGCATCATTCAGCCTGCTTGGGCACCCAGGTGAATCTCCACCCCCCATCGTCGTCCCTGCGCACAAAGGCCTGTCCTTGGTGGAAGCTGTGTGTTCTCACGTTGCGGTGGGGACTCAGGGACGTTGTGAAGGCCACTTCTGTTTTGTTGGGTGACAAACCACCAGTCAAATAAGGCAACCCATAGGCTGGGAGGGAGGAAACACTTGGCACTGGTGAGGAGATGCATGGTGCTGAAGAAAATTGAGGAAGGAAGAGAGAATCCTCGCTGCATGGATGAGTAGTGCTGCTGCCTGGAGGAACATGGCTGCAGCCAAACACTGCTGCTGCTCCTTCCCTCTGCTCACAGTCTGCTGCTCCCCCAGGGCTCAGGCAGTACGTGTCTTTTCCAAGGTCTGGGGACAGGGCACTGTAGTTAGCTGAAGCTTCATCAATGGTGTTCACATCTTTTAATCCCAAGGTCTGCAAGACCCAACTGTCCACAGCAGGGCTGGCTTGCTCTTCACAGGCAGTGAATTCATTGAAGAGGTTCCTTCTAGCTTTGGAAGCATGAGGAGTTTCTTGAGGAACAAAGCAGTGGTCCTCTTTTAATCTCCTCTTGGTACTTTTGAGGATAGCGCAGGTTTTTTGCCCATGGCCAGACAGTAATTTCTATTTAAAAAACCAAAACAACAAGGTAGAAACAGAAGATTAAAATTTGAATTTCTAGATACCTGAGGGCAACATGTTTCTGGCCTCAGATGCACAAGATGGTTACTACTTGATTACTCCTGTCCTTACAAAGACTTTTTTTTTACCCTCTGCTTAAACATATGGGTATGACCAACTATTTTCTATCTTTACAGTGTCTGTAACAACCCTGTTCCTGAAAGAGAAGAGTGTGACCATGTCAATAAGACTTGTGCTTTGTTGGCATTCCCAGCCCTGAGCTCCCACCTGTCTCTGTGCCAGCAGTGCTCTGCAGGTGAGCAGGGAATGGGGGGCAAAGTGGCAGCCTGACAAAGGTAACTCGTGCTGGAAAAGGGAGATCCTGACAAGGCAGTGCCCAGAGCAGCAGCCTGAGTGGCACTGCACTCATCAATTCACCTCAGCTGTCATTATCCCAGGACAAGGGCCCTTCAGGCATCCAGGTATGGCCAAATGAAGGCAAAATGCACAAGGAAGCTCCCCACCATCTGGGGATTACTGCTCAGACACCTCCCATGACAGTTCCACACTGGACCCTTCTCCACATGACACAGGGGGTGGCCATGTCTCCCCGCTGTGTCCAGTGAAGAAGATCTTTCCTACTGCCAGGAGCCAGGTCTGGCCATGGGAAGGAGGACGCCATGCTATCAACTCATCAACAGGATGGAAAAGGAAAGTCTCCTATGTCCTACAGTCTTTTTTACTTCATGCCCAATCCACAGAGTTGAGCAAATAATCAATAGTTCAGTTTCACGGGCAAGGTTGGAATAGCAAAAAATGTCTTTAAGCTGACAAGAAAGAATTATTTTATTTATTTTTGTTTAGGTGAGAGACAAAGAATCCAAATGTTAAAAAAACAAGCCTTCATACTTAGTTTAACAGAATGTTTCATCCAACCTGAAATGTTTCATTTTGTATTTCCCCATTAAAAAAAAACCCCACACAACTTTTTAATTAATTAACTGGAAAAAAAATCCTTATCAAAGGGATAATTGACAAAAGAGAGACATTCAAAATATATATATTCAAATTTGAACTTTTTACTGAAAAAAAAAAGCATTGGAGAGAATAATTTTACCTTGACTATATAATCTTATCTTATTTATAGCTAATTAATAAATTAAACTTAATTATCTCAGGTGCTACACTGTCTTCAGAGTCAGAACCTGACAGGATATAATTCCTGGAGCAAACTGTCACGTTTGTGAATTTAAATGTGAGTGTGAGTTCCACTGCAGGTTGTCTACACTCTTAGATTTTCCATATATTTTACTGGCATGTACCTAATCAACCTGTTCCTTCTGCACATATTTGTATGACAGGTTTGAACACAATACCTTGGCTTTTTCTTCTAAACACTTAATCAGGGCAGAATTCAGGTATTGTCGGAGGTTATTATTTTCTTCATGTAACCTAGCAAGTTCCTCTTCCTTCTGAAGCAAAGTATCTTGAAGCTGTGGAATAGAGATATTGATGAATAGATGTTGACTCTGTAACTTAATAGCAATTGCCCTCTGGTACAAGCTGCTTGGATTTGATGATCTGGGTGTTTGCTTTGTGAGCTCAACCCACCCCCTCCAGCCTCTTGTCTCTATAAATCTAAGTGGCATGACTGTTCAGTTTTCACTTTTGACTTCCTTTAATCTTTAAGTGAGTGTTTGAAAAGATTTCTCTGTAAAAACCTGCAACCACAGAATAACAATAGAAATTAATTACAAGTAGCCCTGTGAGCAGCCAGAAATGGTCACAGGCATGACAGCAGCTTCAGGATCTTCTCTTGAGCTGCAGTAATCATCCCTTTGCACCCCTCCTTCCCATTTATAGCTGGCTGATGAAAAAAAAAGGAGGAGAAGTAGCAAACTAACAATTTATGGGGATAGAGTGAAGAAGGAAGATGCAGTTGCCATTCTTAATGATAAAGCAGCACTCGGTGATTTCTTCAATTCTGGACCCTACGTGCCAGCCCTGGTACATATACACAGTTGAGATAATCCCTGGTCTCAAAAGCTGAACAGGAATGGCAGACACCTAAAATGGGAAGTATCTGCCATTTTCCATGGAAAATATAAGTGTTAATAGATAGATTTCTGGCTCCTGATCACAGCTCTGGAGACTTCTTTAGAAGGACAAAGAATCTTCTGCCAAGGACCACAGGCATCTTCTGAGCATAGACTCAGTCAAAAACAGACTTAAATGATTGAGGCAGAGCCAGAGAAAGAAGTACACTGACATCTGGAACTATGGTTTGATTCCAGGGACCTTTAAGATAATATCTGAATTTTCAGTGTCTTGATTGTGTCAAAACATCATTCCAAGTACTTGATCAGAATTACCAAACTGGAGTTTCTTCATCGAAGACAGTTTGAGAGTTTCTCCTGTCTCATTGGGATTGACAAAAAAAATTAAATATAAGAGAAAATGAAGTAACAAGGAAAACCTGTTGGTCAAAACGGTTGATCCTCCATGTAATTAGGCAATTCTGGTGGAATCATTTCCCATGAAGTTAAACCTGGTGGAATCAGGAGGACACACACTACCTATTTTTAGCCAACAGCATCATCAGAGCCTGAGCCCCCCCACCCCCCGCCCCGTTCATGCCCCTGGTTTTCTTTAGTGCCAAGGCTGCTGATGCAATATGAGGTAAGAGGGGAAGAATGGATAGGGAATCCCACCACAGTCGGTCCAACTTCACAGGACAACATGGGGGAGACAAATACATCAAGCAAGGAGCAACAGTTTTGTGTCACTTTCCGACATCCGTGCCAGTGACAGGGAGACACGCCATAAACCAGCCCAGAAGGTGCAATACGTGACACAAAGTTCGGGAGCTCCGCGGGGTGAACCCGTAGGTGCTGCGGGGCGCGGAGCCTTTACCTGCTTGTTTCTGTAGAGCTGGGAGGACAGCTGGTCTCCCTGCCACGCCGCGTCCTGGGCACCGAGCTGCGGGCTGCAGAACCGGCCTGCGGACGAGAGCGGGGTTAGCGCGGCCCCGAACCGCTCCCAGCGCGGCCGCTCCCGCCGCACCGGCGGCCGCCGAGCGCACTCACTCACTCACCCGGGGGCCGAGCGCACTCACCCGGCGGCGGCCGAGCGTCCCGCCGGCCCTGGCTGTGCGGCGGCTCCGCGGCGCAGACGGCGGCCCAGGTCTCCTTGGAAACCCCGGCGGGGGCGGACCAGGGGCAGGCGCAGCCCGAGCCCCCGGCGAAGTCCGGCTCCGGGCACGGCCGGCCGGCGCTCTGCGGAGAGAAAGGGGCCGAGGCGATGGGGCGCTCGGAGAAGCGGTACCAGCCCGGCCCCGCCGCGCCCCGGCAGAAGCGCCCCGGCGGGGCAGCGCTCTCCCCGCGGCTGTCCCGGCCGGGCTGTGCTCAGGTGCTGTCGCGGGGCAGCCCCACCGCCCGAGGCAGCGCCCAGCCCTGACGCGGTGCCCGCTCCCCGTTTTCCCGGTGGCACCGCTCCGTGCGCCGAGCGCGGGCAGTGCCGCCCCGCCAGCCCCCGCAGCATTGGGACTCCGGGCACAGCGGTGCCGGGGAGGCGGCTCAGTTTCCTGCAAACCCCTGGGAAATGCTACGGTGCTGAGTGGGTTTAGGGTGAAGGGAGGTCCAGTGCTGTCCTTGGCCAGACCGTTCCTGCCACCGTGGGTGTTCGACTCAGCTCTAAAGCAGCAGCACAGAGCCAGCAGAGTCACCTCCTGGCTGCTCGCACTCTCTTCTGCCCCTGCAGTTCTGCAGGAGTTCCAGACCGCAAAGCCTGGGGTTGTCTCTGTATTCACCCTTTCTCCCTCCTCCAAATAAGCCTCATCTGCAGCAACTCTAAATCTCTGCGAGGAAGGCAACAGCAGAACTTGGGAATCTCAGTCAGGGAGTCTGCCCACCCATGGGAAGGCACAGCAGCAGAGACTGCACTGGCAGGTAGAGAAGAGCCTTCTTTCTTTCCCATCTTAAGAGGGCACAAAATCTATTGCACTCCCTCAAGGGAGCTTCTCCTCTTCTGCCTCGAGGTCGAGAGAAATGCAAAGAGCACTTACCATATTAGTGGCAGAATGAAATGCAGGTCTTGGGAGCACGTTTCTGTTAAAGCCCCAGAGAGGTTTAAATGGCTCTGAAGGAGGGGGAGAGGGGGGAGACCGGGGAGGCGAGTTTAATCTAAAGGAGCTCCCAGTGACGCCTCAGAGCTCTCCTGAAACCCAGCAATCTGATTTGGTGTAAAGCTGTCAAACTTGTGACGTGAATAAACAGCAAACTTGCTGAAATCAAAGTCATTCTGGTCCCACAAATCAACACAAGGAAGGAGGGAAAAGAAAAGGAGGGAGAAGGAAAAAAAAGTTTCCACACACTTCGGGGCAGTAATGAACTGGTGTGTCTGAGTTTCACTCCAGGAAATGAACAGACTTCCAGGGAAGCATCCCACATGTTCAGAATAAGGCTGCTGCTGTTGCTGTTGAGTGTTTTGTTTTGTTTTGTTTTGAAGACTTGTTTGCAGTTGTAAAATCCAGCAGGAAGAAACAAGTCTGTCCAACCTGCCAGGCTGACGGAGTGGGTTTTGCCCAGGTTCTCAGAGGTGTGTAGATGCAAATATGATTCAGAGGACAGAGTTCTGGGGACCGTTCTGAGGAGGAAAATGCAAGTTTCAGAACAACAGAGTCTGCAAGGACAAGCTCCTGCAAATGTTTCACTATAACAAGAATGTTTTCTATCAAGCCCTGGACTTCTAGAAGATCTTAGGGTATAAATGTGGCAGTGGTAAAAGATTTATTATCATAAAGGGTTTACTACCATAATGTTGCAAAAGCCATGGACAGGACAGGTGTGTGAAAAGCAGATTGTCTCCATATAGTCACTTCTGCTTCATATCAGATTTACATAGCAATCAAAATCCATGGATAAACTTGAGTTTTTCCCAGAGGGGAGCAAAAAAAAAAATCAAAACCAAACAAAATCTTCACTGAGGGTCTGCCTTTGAATAGCATAGGGAAAGGTGGGAATAGAGCCAACAGCAGAGCAGTTGTTCTGCCAGGATCCTGCCCCTGCTGTGGCAAGGGCTGTTCCAGGTGCTATCCCGACCTGTCTGCAGCCAGCCAGGATGAGGCTGGGCCGAGGGCAGGCTGTGCTGGCATATGGGATGGTCTTTAATTTCTCCCCTGCAGGATGCTCAGTGCTGTTCTCCCATTAGCAAGCCTCAGGGACAATACCTGAGGGACAAAGCAAGAGGGCCATTTGCCATCCATTCTTTTATTACTGGCCATTTTCTTAGGTCGGTGCCCAAGGTAAACTGGCAGTTATACCAAATTAAGCCCCTACCATCTCCTGCCTGATGGTTTTTTTTTTTTTTTTTCCCCAACAGAAGCATTTCAAAAAGGCCTCACACTCTCTCACTCAGCCTACAGTGTTTGGGATCACACTTTAGATTTCTTAACCCGCAGGACAGCACTTTGGATAACTGCTGTGATGACCCATTCCTTTCAGATGCCAACCCCTCCCGCACGGCCGGGTGCTGTGCCGGCTGCTGAGGCACTGGAGCTGTGTGACACACGCCCCACACGCCCCACGGCCCAGCGCAGCTCCTCGGCCGGGTCTGGCCCCGCTGCTGAGGTGCCCCCGGCGGCTCCCTCACGGCGGGCACAGCCCAGGCGGGCACCGCTGCTCTGGGGGCGGCAGCGCGCTGGGTAAGGGCCCGGCGGAGGCGGGTAAAGCCGGGACAGGAGACGTCCCTGGGCGGGTAGGCTGGAGAAGCCCTCAGCGCCCGCAGCAGCCCCGGGAAGAGGCGAGCACCCCGTGGATTCCCGGCCAGCGCCTCCGGGCCCCTCAACGCCGGCCGGGGCCGCGGCCATGCTGGGGCTGCCCAAGATGGCGTCATCAGCCCGCGCCGCCCCCGCCGCGCGGGGATGGCGGCGGGGGGAGCCGGGCTCTCCTGAGGGGCCGGGACTGCCCCGCTCCCGGTGCCCGGGGCTGCTCCGCTCCCCACGCCCGGGGCTGCTCCGGTGCCCGGGGCTGCTCCGGTGCCCGAGGCTGCTCCGCTTCCCGTGCCCGGAGTGTCCCGCTCCCCGTGCCCGCACTGCCCCGCTCCCGGTGCCCGGCTCCAGGCAGCTCGGGAGGTGCCCACGGGGCTCTGCGGGTGCAGAGGAGGCTGCAGTGGATGAAGAGCAGGGATGCTCTGCTCAGGGGGTGCTCCCCGTGTGGCACCTCGCGGCTCGTCTGTCGGGGCTGCAGCAGGGAGAGGAGAGTTGAGTGTCTGAACTGCACATCCCGGGGATTATCAGGGCTTGGAGCAGCTCTGTTAAGAGGAGAGACTGAGGGAACAGGGCCTCTCCTTAGGGGGCTCTCTTTAATGCATATAAATATCTCATATTTATACACATTAATAACTGTGGGGGTCAAGAGGCAGACGCCAGACTCTTTTTAGTGGTGCCCAGTGACAGGACGAGGAACAATGGCCATGAACTAGCACACAAGAAGCTTCACCTCAACATCTGGAAGAACTTTGTCTTGAGGGTGCAGGCACTGGAAGAGCTGCCCAGGCAGGGTGTGGATTCTCCCTGTCTAGAGACATCTCATACCCACCTGTAAGCCGTTGTTGCTTCTGCACAGCGGGTGTGGGGTTGGCTGGGGGCTGACAGTGCCTTTCTGAGATCAAGGAATTCAGGTCAACTCACCGAGGCTGGTATGCTGGGGAGTGAGAGGTGGTAATGGGTTAAAGACAACCAAATCAGAGCCCTGGTAGGTTTGGAGAGATATGTTTTGGGTGACTGCAAAAGGAAAAAATGCTATTGTTGGAGCGAAACACCTCATTTTGCAAAATGGTGCATGAATGATCACACATGATGATGGAAGAGGTTGAAGTCACAGTAGTAATCACACTGATGTGTGTGTGTAAAACAAAACTAAGTAACAATCATCTGCTGATTTTCCTTTTCATCTGGAGCTTTTACTTATTGCAGTTAATGATGGACCTCTTTAATTGGGCATAAAGTTCTGAGGAAAAATGTTTATCAAGACTACAGTATTGTTTCAGTGGAGATTTCACTTTGAATGTCATGGCAGCTCTTTTCTGAAGTTCTTGGAGCACACATTTAAGTGTATTGCAGTGTGTTAATTACTGTATGTTCTTTGTACCTATATTTTCTTCTGTAATTTCTATGATTTTTTTTTGTTTAAACAACAGTGCTGAAGCTAATCCTTCAGATTAATATTAAAATAAAAAACCAAGTTTTTTTTCTGGTTTATCCCTTTTTTATGTAAAAATGGCCTTAACATTGTATTTGCATCATAATGAATGGGCTCTTAGAAGGGATGGTACACAGAAGAAAATAATAGTTACTGATAGTTTAATATAAGTTTTATACCAGGCTTACAAAACTTGCAGAATGGGTGACTTTGCGTGCTGACACCTGCACAGGTGTCCAAACCCACCCCAAATCCTCTTTACTTGTCCTGCCATATTACTGCTACACTGCTTCTTATCCTTGTTAAAAGTGGACGAGTGAACCAGTGACAAACCAGAGGCTCACTTATAACGCAGGACATTAACCTATGGACAGGTACACACAGGTTCCTGGCACTTGCATGAACCTCTGATCATGTTTGTGAACCAAAGGTGTGAGAAATTAAACCTGATGAGACTGATTTGCAAAAATGCTTTTGAAAGGGAATGTATGCAGATGCATGTTCTGGCTGTTTTGCTGATCAGTCCTCCTCCTTGAACGCAGGACTAAAAGGCACTTCCCAAATCCAGTCCCCTGCTGTTGAGACATTCTTAAACTTTTCAATCTCCCTCTTAAAACTAATTAGGTTATTTTCCTTATGTTATTCCCACTGTGAGGCTACACCGTACTCTGAGCTCTGATGGCTGGACACTTTCTAGTTTCCAGGCTGAATGTATTCATAGTAGGTATAATCCCTTTTGTCCTTGTGCCAAACTCTTGCTCTAGTTTAGACACTTCATCTCCCTCTCCAGTGTTTAGCCTTGATGTCTTTGCAAAACATTGTCACACATTGTTTTTTATTTGAGCTCAAAGAAGGCAGGTTCTTTGACAGTCTTTCCTAACCTTAGGAACCCATCTCTGAAAATATTCCAGCTGATATTAACCTGTTTCTCAGATGGATGACCAACATTACTCAGGTTGCTGTGTAACACACCATTGTTTAGAAAAAAACATGGAGAAATCTTTCTCTTTTGTATCTTCCTGGTGTATTTTAGGGCAGCCTTTACCTTTCTCATCACTCTCTCACACCTGTTACTAGTCTTGAAATCACTATCAGGTGGCAGTGAATACACCTGTGGGCTTTATTGCCTGTAAAATGCAGTTAATTTAAATGGAGTCTTCAGTACTGTTGGGCTCTAGCTCTCCCGTGTTGATTCTTCTCGGTACTGTGTAGTTCCACAAGTGTTTAGAATGAATAAAAAAGTTGACTACAAGATGGAAAAATTGCAGCACACCTTTTTGGGTTTACCTGCAGTTTCTCACAGCAAGAGTGGTGAGTCAGTGACTAAAGGATGGAATTTGTCTGAAAAAGTTGAAGGTTTTCTAAATAGATAATGGCACTTTTATGTATAGAATATCCTTAGAGGTGAGATGTTTAAGGACCATGTTTGAATAACGTCTGTGCCATGTGTTGTGTCCACAAGTGCTCCCCCATCTGTTATCACCCCCCCCTAACAGCAAGTCTTGGGTCTCTCCTGTGGATGTAGCTGTTGTTTCAAAAGGAGCAGCAGACCCTGCTTTGAAGAGAGATCTCTTGGACAAGCACAGATAACTGCTCATGAAGATCTAGGACTAGAAGAGGCTTGCTCTTGTGATGTTGGTACTGTTCAGAATTTCACTCCAATTTCCAATCTGACATTTGTGGGTTTGGCTTTTTCTGGTTTGCCATGTGTGCCATTTGATGTGTTATGAACAACAATCTATGCTGTGTTTGTCTGGATTTGTGCAATTCTGATTCTGTTTGCCAGCCATCTGAGAAGCAGTCCTCTAATTGCACTTGATTGCAGCACCAGGTACCAGTATGAGTTTCCCTGAAATGGAAAGGCAAATGGAAAATGTGCAAGTTTTATGAGTACAGAATATGTTTGCAGAATTCACTGCTTGCAGAATGTCATTGAGAGTGAGAGGATAAAAAGATAATGAGTTTTATAATTCTTGGGTTTTTTTGAATGCTTTCATTATTCTACTGGGTATATTGATCTTTTGTCAGAGGAGGACATTAATGAACTTGTTTAGTATCCTATGGACATGTTCTCTCAGAACTCATCCCAGGCTCTATTTATTGCCTGTTTTCTTGCCCTTTCCTTTGGCTGGAATTGTATCATAAAAGAACCCTGAGGTCTTGATCTTAGGGCTAGCTTTTGATGAGCTGATGAGTTTTCCTGAAAACTTCAGGTGTGAATTTGTTACTGTTGCCAATCTGATTGGTGTATGTAAGAGAAATATGTTCTTCTCCTAGCTCTGATGTTGTACAGTTTTATAGTAGCACTTAAATGCCTGAAATTTCAGAACGTCACCCATTTTACGGTACAGACCTAAGTCAGTCTCTGCATCTTTGTTTCAGTTCCTCATCTATCAGTAAGGACTGGTGTGTCTGCTTAGATTTCACATTTCTGTGATAAAAAATGTCCTCATGTAGCCCCTGGCCAAATACATCCCTTTGTTCTTGGCTGAGACCAATTGGCTCCAGAAGAGTAAATTAATTGTGAACTGCTAATTTTTCATTTGGGGATTAATTGGATGGGAGTTTTAATATAAACTACGATGTAGGTATGGAAGCAAAGTCTGTTCTTGGCTGGCATCAGCAGCATGCTGCTGCTGTCCATGTCCCTCATTCCAGAGGTTCCCACTGCACTGAGCTGCCATGCTGCAGCTAAGTAACCCTTACACCATAGAGAGTGATTCAGCAGTGCAAACAAAAGCCCTGATGTAGTCCCAGGGTTAAATAACAGATGGCAGAAACAGTTTTTCTTGAGTGTGCTCGGGGTGTTGACCATCATGGTTTGGGGGAGATTGTTGTGCCTCCAAGAGAAAGAGCCATGTGCTAAAAAGCCATGTTTTTTTCCATGGTGCTTTCTGTGGAACTCAAACTATTTTGCAGGGAGACCTGCCAGAAAAGATTAGCTCACGGATTTAGTCCAAATTAGGATGAATTTTCATGGGACCAGATGTAGATCTGAATGGGGCCTCGTGTCTAATCGTCCACTGATGTGTGCATCTGCCTGCCTCTAACCTGGCCTGTGAGCTCCTCCTCTCCTGTGTGCACGGTGCTGCCAGCCCAATGTACTGGGCTTCACCCATTGAACAGTGCTTTTCCTCTTGGCTCTGGCTCGGGAGTTGGCAGTCTGGCTTCTCTCCATCTTGCTTTGGGTGCAGAGCTGGGCACTTTCCTTTCTTGGCTGGCAGTTGGGATGTTTGGCAGAGATCTCTGATCTGAGTAAATATGTGTGAGGGCATCTCTTCATTGCAGAGCTGTATGGCATTGCCTTCCCTAATCAATAATGAAAGAAAGATTTTAGGACGTGTGTAAATGTGTTGGAGGTTAGAAGGTGAAGGATGTTGTTGTCATGAGCTGAGAAAGATGCCAGGGTTTTTGTGCATACTTTTCAAGGCTGAGTTAAAGCAGTAAGTCGCTGGGGAGATATCCTAGTAAAACAGCTCTCCCTGTATACACAAAATTTCCAGCTCCTAGTCCATGCAGGTAGTGTTCGATGAACTGGTGATGAAAAGGAATTAGTTGGCTGGTAATTCATCTAAAAGATTGGCAGAGGATTTTACAGGCTTATACCAGGGCTGGCTGGAGACAATAATCTCTTTTCTTGAAGAATGCCAAGGTCCTGACGCCCAGC